AATTTGTGTTGTCAGTATAAATTTTGTCTGGATGTATTCCTTCAACCAACCAATCGTTTCTCATTTTATCAATCTTTGTCTCCACAGCTTCCTTGTTTTCAAATATTTTGCGTAAGTTGATCTCGCTGTTTTGAGCAAACGACGTCGCAACTGACTCTGCGATAGACTCCACATTTTCGGCCACATTCTCACGAAAAACCTCATTTAATCTCGTCCTTAATACGTTTCCGAGCATTCTCATCTCGTCGTCGACAATCACGAGAGTTGTTCCAACACTTTTAGTATCGTCCCAATTATCGACTTCATACTGATTTGGAACATCCGATGCAATCGTTAGGAAATTGGCAAGGAAGACAAGTTCTAGATGAATAACGGTGCACAGCAATGGAAGACGACTCATCATTTGTGGTGTTTTTTCACGTTGTGGTACACATATAGTTTAAAAAATAGGCATGCGAATTTCAACTATTTAGTACCGACGAAACACAATTTTTGAAAACCTACTAATTAGATTTCAGCAATGAAAAAATTGGAGGAGTAAATTATTATTGGGTTTATTGCAAAAGTTGATACAAATAGAAAATATTCGCTTGATGTGGTACAATTGTGTTTTAAACACTAAAATTACGAGACCTGGTAAAATTACCGAGTGTAGCCATTCTTGGTTCACCGTTACATTGAAGGTGTGTGCCATGGAGATGGAGGAACTTAAGCAGAAGAGATGGACTAACGGCAAGGAGGCTGTGCGATCAAAGATGTCTCATTGGCACAAAGGAAGTGTGCAATCGAGGGGGGGCGTTTCGTTAATTATAGTGTAACAGTGCAACTATTGGTTGTGAGTGGCACGTTCGTCTAGCACGATTTCGATCCAAGAATCACCCAGGAGACTGGCATTTGACGGGAGGCAACCTCGATCACCAAAACTGTGTTAGTGTAGCTAAGCCATCACGAATCTAGTTAGTCAACAACCCTGTGGTCCGTGGTGCACTTCCATCTAACCCAGCTACATCAACCAGCGCTCTCGTCGCACAGCTTCGTCACCAAAAGAAGGTAACAGCGTCAAAGCACGTAATGTATCGCGCCAAGGACTGTGTGATAGCAGAGCTGCACAATGGAGACCCGCTGAACTTTCACCTCTTCCCAGTCTGCTGGCGAAATTTTAGCGTCTAAAAGCTAGAGTGTTGACGGAGGTTCAGTGTGATGACCGCGGGCGATTCAGCCGTGCGATTGTTTTGCACAGTCCCTCATGGTTCACCAGTGACCCTGGTGTATACGGAGTGGATGCAGCGTACATTACACACCGCAAGTACAAAGATGCTCAGGTCGTGATGGTCGGTCGCGACTGAAATCTTACCAACAAGATTGTTGCTGTCATACTAGCTCCAGTCGAATACTATGACAACTACCTGTGGTTCTTCAGTAAAATTCCATACCATGGCTTTCCACTGACTGCATGTCCAGTCTTTAGCGATCGCAATGCCAGTCTGGTGTCGGTCGCGGAATCACTCGGGATCTTCAACGTGTTTTGTGTTCGTCACATCATCGGTACATGGTCTAGAGTACATGTTTCGCTAGTACTCACATGGATTATTTCTCCATAGGAAATATTAGATCTGATAAGACAGTCAGACTAACCGTGACTCAAGAGCAATTTGTGTGGGAGCGAACGCAGCTGTGTCTCGCGCCGACTACGATGTCGCTATCGGAAAGCCTAATGCTGTAAGCCCAGCAGCCACAGTTTATCTTAGTGCCATACCTGCAAGCAAATGGACACTTCACCCCCATGTCAACACTACACCCTTGTACGGCTGACGAACGACGAACTTCGTGGAAAGCGAACAAGCGAAGAGTCTTCGCCTTAAGCAACGGAAAATGCAACCATACGAGTTTTTCGAATCATATCTGACACTTTTTATGGGTGAGGCGTACAACCGGGTCCGACTAGGTCAGTCGTGGGTGAATGCGGAGCGCAAGCTGACGCCGCGTGCAGAACGTAAATTTCAGGTTCAACTCGGAGATGCAGCGGACTACATGGTGACATTTAGTTCAGATGACGTTGCATTC